CAAGGCAATATTTTACATTTCGGTTGGCAAGGTGTTTCTCAGCCCACCACGCAGCTGACATTGAAATCCAGGATCTTCCTGATTTGTGGTGGGTCACCTTAAATGTTTCCTTGAAGAAAAGAGTCAGTTTCTCTCCAGAAAAATTATTCAACCCTTCTGAACATATGCGTTGCCCCTGTTTCTCATGCCTCCCTTTAAAAATGTAATGCTGATATAGTCTTGGTCTTTTAAGACACCAATACCCAGCATACTCCAAGCAGATCACATGAGATCTAAAGCCAAGTGTCAATCCTGAATCCTAGGAACTCAGCAATTCTGAAATCTAGCACCTTCCTATTATGAAGGAACACATCTCTTTGCAGAGGCTCAGAGGCTCTCTTGCGGGGACATGGCACAATTTTTGAAGAGTTGGTCCCACCAAACAGTTGCACAGGCCGGTTTGAGGTGGTGATGTTTAGCAACCTGGTGGCTTAAATTGCACACTCTCAGTCTTGGCTTTAGACAAAGCTTCTTGTAGTCTGATGAGCTCGGGGGGCCTAAATCCACCCCAGGATCAAGTCATCCTATCTGAAGTTCACCCAGTTTTCTTAGCCACGGGAAATGAGCCATTCGTGGCAATCCTTGTTATTAAACTAATGGGAATATTCGGCAGGGAGGGGGTGAAAAATGACCAAGCTCCCCCCACCTTGGTGGAGCCAACAGCCACGCCATCATGGTGGTTCCACCATCCTGGGGGAATGTGAGAATGAAGCGTTCCATTCATTTGTCTTTAGCCTGATCCTGCAGGGAGTTTGTGTGAACATTTGTCACCTGGGGCTTAACCATTTTCACACAAGCACCTCCATCGCTCCATGGAAATGTTTCAGAATGCGTGGTCCTAATCCATAAGAATCGTAAAAACGGCACAACGAAACAACAGTGGTTCGAAAGGTCGACAGTTTCAAGCTAAACCCAGAGCACACAAGCTGATTTCACGAAGAGGCAAACTTGGTGAGTAACAAATACGGATTGGCTTTAACTGGATGAAGGTCATTGGGACCTGGTTCTCTCTTTGATGGTGTCCAAACATCTTAGCTGGTTCCAGATGCCCACCAGTGAGGTACACTTTCTGTCTCCATATTTTCCACTTTTTGGAGGAAACTGCACTCCTTCAACTATCTCATTCTGGAAACTTACTTGAGCTTTTTATAAGTGTGTATTTTGTGGCTGATCCTGGGAAGAAATTCCCTGAAGGCTTGGAGGAGTAAGAGGGAGAAAAGACATGACCTAAACCTGAAGTTGAACTATCATATTTCCTCTTCCTTAATTTATTTTGCAGCTATCGCTATCTATCTATCTGTCTGTCTATCCATACATCCATTCAATTATTGTATTGTGTTTTTATTCTGTTTGGTTTTATTGTATAGTGCCCAGTTCTAAATCAGGCAGTGCATAAATTGAATACATTACATTAAATCCATCCACCCTTCTCTTCTTTCTTTCTTTCTTTCTTTCTTTCTTTCTTTCTTTCTTTCTTTCTTTCTTTCT